ACAAATTCTTTCTACACCGTCTCCATTTGCTGTCTTCCATGGAACATATGATAAAAGTCAGGAACAAGAATATTCCTTGGAATGTTCCTACTGGGCTTCTCTCACATTTCTGAATACAGAGCCCCCATCTCTCTTTGGACTTCAAAATACTACAACATTTAGGCAAATGCAGGCATTGAAATGTTTAGATGTACTGAAGGGCATGTTTTAGAGGGAAATATTGGTGATAGGTGAACAATTGGAATGGATGATCTTGAAGGTTTTTTTCTAACCTTGATGTTTTTGTGATTCTATGATTTTAATATTTTGGGGTCTTTTCTTTTTTAGATTCTCTTTCCTAACCTGATCTCAATTCTGTTTCAAATACTACTGCTTATCTTTGGAAACCCAGATTCTGTTGCACTTTTTATTGCTTGCCTTTCTAAAGGCAAAATGGTTTTGTTTTTTTTTTCAAGCCACCTCTGCTTTCTCTAAGAAATGTCACTGGCTATTTTTAAAGGCCTTACTGTTTCCTTTGCTGATTTGTTATGTATTTACAGCACAAACCCTTCACTTATATAGAGGAGCTTTATGTTTCCTACCATCTGGCTTAGTAGTCATTCTCCACTCATGCCATATTTCTACTCCTCTTCTGTACCTGAGTGATGTGTTTGCATTGAAAAACTGCCATAAAATCTGTCAGTTGTGGAAAAACAAACAGAAGCAGTGAAAAAGGAAAATCCTGAGAAGGTTTTCTTGTTACTTTTTTTTTTTTTGTGTGTGTGTGTGTGTGTGTGTGTGTGTTTGTTTTGTTTGTTTTTTTTTTGTTGTTGTTTTTTTTGTCTTTTTTGAAGTAAACCATCACATGCACTTCCTTATAAGTTGAACTTGATTTCTTTCTTATGCAACAGGAAAACATTAGATATTCAATCATACACCTCTGAGAGGCCCTCACCCTTCGTTAAAAACAAACATATTTTTTACAGAGGCTCCATCTTGTTGTGACGCTGCATACTCCAGCACTAAAACACCCCGTCTCTTTTGAGGGCTTTTCATTTGCCACCCTAGGCCTGTATAGGACAGGAAGGCCAAGTATTAAATTAAACAAGTTTAGCAAAGTGAACATTTCTTAACAATGCCCAGAGGCAGGTCTCAGACAGAAGCATGGAAGAGCCTTTTTCAGAATGCTGGGTCAGGGACCACAATGTGATAGATTTTGTTGGTAATTTTAGGGTGTTTCTCTGTAGACATTGAGTTGAAATAAGGTCACGGGTTTTACCTGAAGGCGTTATACGCTGATTGAAATTCTGTGGCTTAAACCCCAAATTTAAGTTTGATTACATAAGTTATTAATGTTCGTTTGTCCTACATCTGAATGACAGCAATGAGAAAATAGTATTAAACACACACCTCCTTGAGGAAACCCACTACAAAACAGCTTTCCAACAGAGTGGGAAGATGATTACACCTCAGATTACGTTTTTAGATTGCTTTGCGTTCTCTAACAAGAAATTCTCCTCTTCAAACAGCCTTTGCCAATCTCTCTCTCAAACAAACAACTAGAGAAAAAGGCAAAGCAAAACAGAGCAACCAGATTGCAGCTCAGAAATAACACCAACTCATTTTGCTTATTATGTTTCCTTCCTGCTATCTTTTTAGCAGTCCTGCTCAATGCTCAGCCCCATCTCTCCTTGTGAGCGTTCTTAAATTATCCTGCCATGATTTCAGTTGAGAGTGTAGGCCCATATTTCACAAAGGTTTTGAATGATGAGAGAGAAACTGTAATTAACACCACGCTGAATTTGGATACAATTGGCTTGTACTGCTTACAAGGAAAAAAGGAGAAGATAAGTAAAACCACAAAGCTTATTAACATTGAATTATGACTTCTGCATGCTGTGTGACTTCTTCTTAGACCAAAGAAGTCAGCAACAAGATGCCCAGTAACATGAATATTCCTGAAAATTACATTAAAAATCATGAATTGAATGCCATTTTATTTAATAAATTCTAGTTTTTTTTTTTAATTATTATTATTTTTTTAATTAAAATCAACCACTAGAGCCTGACTTTGCAAAAGGTTTTCATTTCTTCCAACTTTCCTACCTGGAGAAGTTTATCAGCCAGCCACCAACTCTGCATCCTTGGTGCTATTTATGGTCTGAGGGGTATGTGGATAGGCTTTGTTTACTTAGTGACAAGAGGACTTAAGGCTATAGGCTGTTTTTAACTTTTTAAATATAAACCTTCCATAGGAGAGATGCAATCCTCAGTAGGTTGCAAAGAGATATTACTGATGAGATGTAAAACCAAATTATATTTCATTAAAATCTCTTTTTACTTTAATTGAGTTCTAGTGTTCCTAGAAAAAAAAAAAAAAAAAAAAAAAAAAGGGTCATTAACTCTTTACAGTACACAACCACTGAGAATGTGAGTATATAGACATGGGAGACAGAACATAACCTCAGAGTCACTTAGGGAAATTCCAAGGTATGTAGCAATAGCTATTGTTGAAAGAGATTATGCTTCTTATCATTAAGTAAAACAGTACTACCGTTGTCACTTTAAGATGATAGGAATTAAAAAGAGATTATAATTAAAGCAATGTTTTGATCTCCCAGTTTCTTGTGATCCAAGCAAATCAATATAAGAATTCCACAGCATTAAGCAGATTCATTTTAGTATCCACAGTAAGGAATCAAGAAATCTAAGATCAAATTCAGTATGCTAGATTATCCTCTAGAGCTTTTATCAAGCTAGTAATACTTGTAGTATGAAAACACCCCAAACTATGTGTGATTTTATGATTTGACAATACAGCATGTCAAACATTTGCATGACCTTGAGCAGCCTGAGTTTTGCCAGTACTCAAACAGAAGGTTCAATTTGTTGCTCAGCTGTTGCTCGCTGCTCACCTGTTAGCACTTTCCTGTGGGAAGAACTACAGCTGCAGCACAATCACCATCAGCCAATAGATAGAGGCTCTCCCATTTCTCATTGGAAGTGGCTGATTGCCTCATTGGAAGTGCTGTCCCTGAAGGCAGTATATAAAAGCAGACCAAGGGTTGGGAGCTGTTGTGTGGAGTCCTGGGTTTGTGGGTGACTTGTTGGTAATGGGGTTTTTTGTTTTTGTATAATTGCTGTCTCTCCTTTTATAAGCATGAGGTATGTAATGGGGTGTGGGTGGCTATTAAACTTAGCTGGGCTTTTTTTGTGTGCTTTTGATGTTGTTTGTGTTTTTTTTTGTATGGGTCAAGCTTTTCTCATTGGTGTATGTTGACAGGGTAAGTAGCTATGAGTAGAAGCTGTGTATAAGCTTCTGAAGGTCTGTCTTTCCTAGAACAACTGAGTACTGGAGCAGGCTGCTTGAAGAAGTCATGGAATTTTCTCTTCAAGAGATCTTCATAAGAAGCCTGGATTTTTTTTCCTGTGTGATCTGCTGCATGCAATCTGCTTTAGAAGGTGAATTGGACTTAAATCTCTAGAAGTCCCTTTTAACCCCTATGATTCTACCTGGGGATGTATGTTGGTGACTTTTTTCATTCACAGAATTGTAGGGGTTGGAAGGGACCTCCAGCGATCAAGTCCAACCCCCTCCTGCCAAAGCAAGTTCCCTACAGCAGGTCTGTAGGGACAGCAGGTCTTCCCATCCAGGCAGGTCTTGAACATCTCCAGAGAAGGAGACTCCACCACCTCCCTGGGCAGCCTGTTCCAGTGCTCCATCACCCTCACTGTAAAGAAGTTCTTGCACACATTTGTGCGGAACTTCCTATGCTGCAGTTTCTGGCCGTTTCCCCTTGTCCTGTTTCCACTCACCACTGAAAAGAGTCCGGCCTCGCCATTCTGCCCCCCACACCTTAGATATTGATAGACCTGGATCAGGTCCCCTCTCAGTCTCCTTTTCTCAAGGCTGAACAGACCCAGCTCACTCAGCCTTTCCTTATAGGAGAGATGCTCCAGGCCCTTCACCATCTTCGTGGCCCTCCGCTGGACTCTTTCCAAGAGATCCCTGTCTTTTTTGTACTGGGGAGCCCAGAACTGGACACAGTGCTCCAGATGAGGTCTTACCAGGGCAGAGTAGAGGGGGAGGATCACCTCCCTCGACCTGCTGGCCACACTCTTTTTAATGCACCCCAGGATGCCATTGGCCCTCTTGGCCACAAGGGCACACTGCTGGCTCATGGCCAACCTGTCGTCCACCAGGACACCCAGGTCCCTCTCTGTAGAGCTCCCCTCCAGCAGGTCATCCCCCCAACCTGTACTGGTGCATGGAATTATTCCTCCCCAGATGCAAGACTCTACACTTGCTTTTGTTAAACCTCATCTGTTTGTTTTTTTTTTTTTATCCAGCTCTCCAGCCTGTCCAGGTCTTGCTGAATGGCAGCACAGCCTTCAGGCGTGTCAGCCAATCCTCCCAACTTCGTATCATCAGCAAACTTGCTGATGGTGGCTACTATCCCCTCATCAAGGTCATTGATGAAGATGTTGAACAAGACCGGACCCAGCACAGACCCCTGAGGAACACCACTGGTTACAGGCCTCCAACCGGACTCTGCACCACCACCAACAACCCTCTGTGCTCTGCCAGTCAGCCACTTCTCAACCCTCCTTACTGTCCACTCACGTATCCCACACTTCCTCAGCTTTGTTATAAGGATGTCGTGGGGGACAGTATCAAATGCCTTGCTGAAATCAAGGTAGACTACATCCACTGCTCTCCCCCCATCCACCCAGCCAGAGACATCACAGAAGGCTACCAGGTTGGTCAAGCACGACCTCCCCCTGGTGAACCTGTGCTGACTACTCCTGATAACCTCCTCTTCTTCCAGATGTCTGGAGACATCCAATGCAAGCTGTTCCATCACCTTTCCAGGGACAGAGGTGAGGCTGACTGGCCACTAATTGCCTGGGTCTTCCTTCTTGCCTTTTTTGAAGACCGGGGTGACGTTGGCTATCCTCCAGTCTTCAGGCACCTCCCGTGTCCTCCAAGACTTCTCAAAGATGACAGAAAGCGGTTCAGCAATCACCTCTGCCAGCTCCCTCAGCACCCGTGGATGAATCCCATCGGGTCCCATGGATTCCTAGCTGGGGAAGTTAGCAAGTGATGAGGTATGGGTTATACTCTTTTCTAGAGCTTTGGTTTAGAGTGTTTTTCATGTGTTGTTTTTTGTTTGGTTTTTTTTTTTTTCACTTCTGGACAAAACTAGGTAGCTGTTGATGGGTTAGACCTCAGGAGGATTGTTATGTTTTACTCTTAAGGAATGGGCTTGTTTCTATTGGCTTGATGGGGACTTCTTGTACTGGAGCTGGTGTAGGGTTTGCCTTCCTAGGGACACTTCAGAGGCTCATCTGTAGTTCTCAAAAAAACCAGTCTTCCACAGTGAGCTGTTTTCAGAAACCAGTGAAGTTGTTTCCATTCTAGAAAGCTTTCAAAGAAAGTGTGACCCTTAATCTTTAGTTAACAAGACCAATGTTAATAAACTGTTAGACTACTCTAATGAGTAATTATCTTTTCTGGTTCTAATTACAGGGAAGAGAACTTGCAAGATCACAAAGAATGTGTGAGGCCAGCTGGCTGTGTGCTGAAGTTAGAATGGGGAAACAAGTTACTGGGGTGAAATTTCCTGGGTTTCCTAGAAAGTTGTGCAAAACAAGGTTATCTTGAATCATAGAACTGCTCCTAAGGAGAATTGAGGGTGGAAGGGGATTTTGTTGCAATTGGATAAAATTTCCAGGGGTTTGTTCAAGTCTCCTTTGTGAGGGAAGGTAAGTAGATGATGCTAACACCTAGGATGCAATGGTGTTAAGAAGGGTAGGGCTAAGGATCTCCTAAAGCCCATTCAACCAAGTCTTGTCCTATACAAGAGGGTGGGGAAAAAAAAAATCACTGTTAACTGTGGTTCCTCAGTTGTTTATTCTCAGAGCAGAGCATAGCCCACAAAGCCAGTTGCTGTAAGAGCTGAAAGATGACTTCTGTGTTTCAAGTTTCTCTACAGGTAGAAGCTGTAACAGAAGCCATAGCTGACATATGGGCAAATGCAGGTAAGGAAGAATGAGGTAAGGTTTGAGGGTAAATTCTTAATTAGTGAAATGTACTGTATGTTTTGGCAAGCGTGGGCTACAGAGGTGAAGGTGAGGGACCTACCTACCTGTGGTGCAACATATAGCTAGTAGAAGTATAAGAATTTGGGTTATGAAGCGGATCCCTGATAGGGGTCCAAAATATCATCAGTCATGTTTGATGGAGAGATTGATTAGGGAGCCCCATAGATAGGGGGTGGGACTTCTGAGTGCTGCAAGCTGTCCACAGAATCATAGGGGTTGAAAGGAGGGACCTCTAGAGACTCAGTTTCCTAGCCTAATTGCCTAGCTAATGTAGATTCTCTACAGTAAGGACAGCCTTACTCAGTGGAGTAAAGCTGTCTGGGTAGGTCTTGAATTTCTTCAGAGAAGGGGACTCCATCTCCATGGGCAGCTTGTTCTGGTGCTCTGTTGCCCTCAGAGTAAATCTCTTCCTTACGTTTCTATGGAATTTCCTGCGTTACACTTGCTGTGCATCGCTGAAAAGAGCCTGGTCCCATCCACTTGATTTTCATACTTTGGACTGCATAAACAGTTATAAGATGCCCTTTGTCTTCTGAGCTGTGTGGCCTGCCCTGTTCAGCCTGGAGAATACTGCTGCCTCATGGCCATCCTGCTGTCCACCAGGACACCCAGTTCCTTAACTGCGGAGCTCTTCTTTGGCAGGTCAGCCCCTAACCTGTACTGATTTGTGCAGTTATTTCTGCCTAGGTGCAGGAATTTAATATTGGTGAAGCTCATCAGGTTCTTCTCCATCCAACTTCCACTCCACAAGACTTGGACAGACTGGCAGCACAGCTTTCTGATGTCATCCACTCCTCCCAGCTATTATTGTCATTGTATCTGCTGCAGGTAAGTTCTAGCCCTTTCTCCAAGTCACTGATCAAGATCTTGAACTGGGCTCAGTACTGACCCACTTTGAGTTACAGGCCTCTAATTAGGCTCTGCTGTTGTTTATGACTCTGAGCTTTGCCATTCAGCCAGTTCTCAATTCAGTGAGGTGAATTCACCTCCTTGTCTACTCATTAATCTTGCAATTACTTAGTCTCACTACAAGGCTGTTGTGAGAGACAATCTAATGTCTTGCTAAAGTTAAAATAGACAAGCTTCCCCTGCTTACTGCTCTGGATCACAGAATCCTTAGAGTTGGAACGCCAGTTAGTCCAACTCCCCTGCAGTGAACAGGGACACCACAGCTAGATCAGGTTGCCCAGGGCCTGATCCAGCCTCGCCTTGAAAGTCTCCTGGGATGTGGCATCAACCACAAATCATCAAGTAGCCTTTTTAAGTGCTTTAGCACCAGCACTGTAAAATGTTTTCTTCCTTATATGTAACCTACTCTACCTGAGTTTGGATAAGCTTCTCTTCTGTTGTGTGGAGATGGCAATCAGTAGTTGTTGTTCCATCACTTTTCCAGGGACAGAGGTGAAGTCTGAACAGTAGCTGCCTGCATCGTCCTTGCATTTCTTGATGACTGGTGTGAATTGCCTGTCCATCAGTCTTCAGGTACCTCTTCCATTCAAATATGGATGGATTGGCAGTCACTTCTTCAAGCTTCCCTCAGCATTCCTGGGCGCATCCCACTGGGGCCATGGATGTATGCATGCTTTTTCTTTATTTACCAGGTATTTGCAGATCAGATCTTCATTGAATAAAAGGAATTCTTCATTTCCTTGGATTCTGACTCGCTTCTGGAGCTCAGGTTTTCTGAGGGGCTGTCTTAGCTGTGAAGACTGAAGCACAGTAGATGTTCAGCATCCCCTGTTACCAGGGCACCCTCTTTAAGCAGTGGACTTGCATAGCTTTCCTTTTATTGTGCAGGTAGGGGGGTGGGAGGAGGGAATGTCATCTTTGCTTGTGGTGTATCTATGAGCTCCTTGTTCATCCATGAAAGTTTCCTGCCTATTTTGCTCTATCTCTTAAGGCTGCATGGATCTTCTGCTTGAAAAAAGTTGTGCTTGATCTCTGACCAACTCTCGTGAACCACTTACCTTCCAACATGCTTCGCCAAAGGATACCTCCAGGTATGTACCAGAAGTCCAGGGTTGCTACTTCACTTACTCTCTTGCTACTTCCACACAGGATCCCAAAATCCACCATCTCACATGATTACTGCATCTCAGGCTGCCCCTGACATCCACATTACCCAATCAGCCCTTCCTTCTTAGAGAGAAGAAGATCCAGCAGAAGACTCTGCCTTGTCCACTTGTCCATCGCCTGCACCAGAAAGTTATCTTCATATTACATTGAGGGAACCCTCTGGACTGTGTCTGACAGTCTTGCTTTACCAAGAAATACTGTGTAACTGAAGTTTCTCACAAGATTGAATGCCAATATTTCTTGTATGTGTTGATAAGGTAAGATTGATAGGGAAGAAAGCAATCCTATGAAGGTTGAGATACCTGACAAGAAAACTCAGCTAAGTGGGGAGCAATTTTTTTATTTTTTTATTTTTTTTTTTTTCCCTCCTTTGTTTAGTACACTCGCGGAGCTGAATCAGTCTACCAGGGGATTAAAGTAATTTTATGAGGCTATTTCTGGGAGGAGGGCTGTTCATTGTGTGTGTTATCTTAGGAGAATTTAAAGGCTAGGATAGGTCAAGGGCTGCGTGGACAATAGTAATGTATTTTTGTGTTTATAAGGGTGGTTACTTGAGATGTCCTCATTGGCATGATGTAGCATGATCAATCCTGCTGGGACGCAGCATAGAGTGAGTTGAATAATGGGGGTGGATAGTTGACTTTATTTACTGGGCTAATCGTGGGGGCATGGTTGAACTCTGGATGAAATAGGTAATGAGTAGGCTGCAAGTTTTTAGTGGAAGACATAAGGATGAGGATAGTAGAATCATAGAATCATAGAATCACCAAGGTTGGAAAAGACCTAAAAGATCACCCAGTCCAACTGTTCACCTATTCCCAATAGTTCCTACTAATCCATGTCCCTCAACACAACATCCAGCCTCTCCTTGAACAACCCCAGGGTTGGTGATTCCACCACCTCCCTGGGCAGTCCATTCCAGTGCCTGACCACCCTTTCTGACAAGTAATACTTCCTAATGTCCAGCCTGAATCTCCCCTGCCGTAGCTTGAAAGTAGCACTTGAATGTTGAGGTATAAATGGTTTGCTTTCAATGATCAGTTCTTTCAGGTAGAATCCTGATAGGAATGGAGTTGCTGTTATATTAATAGCAGGCAACAGTCAGGCAAGAATCAATTGGTGGGGGAAGAGGGGAGGAAAGTGTTGTCTGTGGGGAGCCCGTTTTCTCTATGTCTTCTGTATTTTTCAGGATGTGAACAATAAGGCCTAAGCATAGGAGTGTTATGACTTTATACACCTTCAGAATTGTGTGCGGAATTCAGCAGTGCATTCTAATTTGCACCACCTCTCAGTAAGTGAGAAGGTCAGAGCTTCAGTTTTTAGGATTGCATTATGGTTGATTAGAACTGTGCTGTGTAAGAGGGTTCTGGAAATTAGTGCTTAGTATCTCTATCACTTCTAGCTTTGAAATGAGGTATGGCTCAAGTGTCATCTTAAATTGTACAGCTTTTCTGTATGTTTAGGACAGATTGAAATGTCGGAGTCGATCCTTTTAGATAGGATAGGAATTGTACCCCAGTAATTTGGTGGGACTATCTTAGTAATATAAATAGCAGACTTTGCTCTAACAAACTAAGGACACAATCAAAACCCTTCAAAAGCACTGCAAACAGTGGTAACTCTGGAGATGAGTTGAATTAGTGGGTGGCCTAGGTGAGGTATGGTTGATTGTTAGGCAGATGCTTAGTGCCAGCAGGTGAAAGAGTGGGCTGGTTGTCAGAATTACTGTGAATGTGAGGATTAGTGGCATGGAAAAAGAGTGGCCTAAGGAGGCTGTGGGTTGGTTTTGCAGGCACGTTAGCAGAGCGACCAGTCATACTGGGATAGCTGGGACTAGGTTTACTGATGCCATGACCCCAGCCACCAAGTATATGGGAGTAGACGTAGGAGGTTGATTACACAGGCAAATAGTATGTGATCTTAGTAAGAGTTATCATGGTTGGTTTCATTTACTGGGACTAAGGATTTTGTGGTTAGCTAAATATTTACATAGCTGAAGAGTTGATATTCATTTAGCTTATTCATAGAATTGGCTTATTCATGGATTATCTAGTGACTGGAGTAGGAGAGCTGTGAGTACCAATACTGTTGTTTTCTTCTTATAGGAGTGGGCTTAAAAGTTGGTTGGGGGAGTTTAAGGTTAGGACTTGAAGCATGCAATCAGGTTCATGGGGGTAGTGGTAGAGTTTAACTTGAGAGGTTCTGCAGAAGGGAATGGAAAGAACTGCAGTTGGAGAAGTAGTGACATGCTGAGCTCTGTTAAAAGTAAAATGGTAAACCATATATTGCTTCACAGGAGGGAGAGGTATTCTTGGTCTTGCTATGTGTCTAGTACTAGCTCATAACTCACTAAGAGGACAGCAGTGAGGATCAAGTTCTAAAGTGTTCGCAAGGAGTAGATTCAAGCAACTAGGATAAGCATGTAGGGTCAGTTAATTCCACAAATTGGTGCTAATAATAGATTTCCTTCAGTTAAACTGGGACTGTGGCTTTTTTTTTTTTTTCTACTTGAACCCCAAGTTTTTTCACTCTTCAGCAGAGAAGAACGTATCCAACAGTGACAATTGCTCAAATGGATGTTTGAAAGGGACTATAATGCAGTGGTCAAATTCCAGTAACCCAAAGTGTCTTTCAGGCAAGTCTGCTCTGGGTATCATTAGGAATCAGATTATAAGTGGCAAGACTTCAGGATCTCTTTCCCAATTGTATTCCACATTATAACATCATGTAGTGCGCTGGGAGTTAAGAGTTCATACTCCAGTTCTGTGGACTGCTGATATTTCCAGATACCCGGATCTCAGAACAGAACAACTACATGCTACGTCCCCTCGTGCACTTGGTGGTGTTGTCTTTTTCTTCATTTTCAGAGGGTAAGATGAAGCTGGGGGGAGATGAAGAGACATGCCTTCTTCAACCTCCGAGCTTGATTCATTAGTTTCAATTATATTGTATTACAGTACAATAAAGAGTGTTGTCTTGCATGCCAGTATCTTTATTCCTTCTCGCATCACTGCTGCTTTTAATTTTTAAGGCCCATCTCTATCCCGTTTTCTTGGGTGGGGGTCCCCTGCCTCCATTAGCCATAGAACAGGACCCAACCAGCCCGTAAAGCAGTAACAAAAACAGTTATGAGCAGACAAATTTGATAAGATTGACAGCTGGGATGCTTTCACTGTGAGACTTGGTTTATCAATCAAGTAAAGGGCACTCATGGTAGGCAAGTGAGAAGGATTAGTGAGATGGCCTGGTGGGTGGCTTTGAGAAGCTCAGCTTATTATGCACTAATGGCACTGCATGGTTTATTGTGTTTGCATGAGAGCAAGAGTTAAAGTAAGCAAAGCGAACAGCAGAGGGGGAATGCTACTACCACAGCATAACAGTGACACTGAAAGAGTTGGCCTGTAAAAGGGCGTGTGTAGTCTTAGTGCTTAGGAGGAGTGATTGGCCATCTGAGATAATAAGAATGACCTTGTCTTCACAAAGATAGATAGCTGGTACTCAAAGGGCATAAAGAAGCACAAAGGAGTGTGCTGTTGACAGTCTGAAGAGTAAAAAATACACAGCCTGGCTTTCCAGTTAAGAAATTTACTAGGTAGTTTGTGAATAGGCTTCTACGTAGTTTGGGATGGTCCCCAGGCAGAAGGAACAAAGGAAGAGCAATTCCTCAGATGGGTTATTCAAAATGGGAATCAGAGGCAATTCAAACATAATGAAATACATTTCACTTGAGACTGCAAGACGCCTTAGAAGTCTTCAAGGAATGCTTGGACCTTAATCATAGAAACTGTTTGTGAAAGTACGTACTTATGTTAACCACAATTTCAAAGCATGAAATAGCAGAGGAGTAAACACTACCTAAGTAGTATAAGGAACGCATTGAACTAGATAAGACTTAAAGATGAGGACTGAACTAGCACACAGATATGACAACTAGAAGATAAGACATGCTACTGATGTAAATGATGGCAATTAAAATATTTTACTTAACTTGAAATTGAATGCCTCACTGCTATGGTGGGGGGTGGAAGTGGAACTGATGTAACGGCAATGGATTGAACTGAGTTACTCTGTGACACAAGACAGCAGATGGGCAGTGTGAATAAACTGAGTCTAAAATACGAGATGAAAATTAAAGTGAGTACAAACCAGTAGTAGAAATAAGTTGCACAAAATAAATAAATAAATAAATAAAATTGCTAAGTACAGATATAAAATAATAAAAGACAAACACAGAAGGGCATGAAATGCTGAAGAAGAAAGCAGTGATGTGCAAGGTAGTTAATCTGACCACTGATGGCGCTGTACTTTCTTCTGCAAATATGATTGTCTGCAAGAAGATCCCAAAAGAGTTTATGAAGACATACAGCAAAGGGCAGCGATGAAGAAAAAGAAGAGTGGAGAGCAGGCAAGAAGTAGATTAAAATGATATGCAAAACTGTATGCAGTGAGTTTAATGAGGCAATAAAGATGATTGTGGGGTGATTTCTAGGTGGAGCAACACCAAACAGGATGAAAAAAAGAAGAACCTCAAATGTAAGGCATGCAAAAGGTGCAAAAAATACACAAAAAGGCACAAAGGGCACAAAATAGCCACAAAAAAAAAGGCACAAAACACAAAAAGGCGCAAAAAAGGCGCAAAAAAAGGGGCAGAGGGCACTTGTTACTTAGAAACTTTACCATGTTGAACTTAGAAAAATAGATCTTACTTATTAAAACTCGAACGAACTTTGAAAACTTCGGCTAGCTTTCAAACTTACATACTTAGAAACACCAAAACTTACACACTTCAACCTTTTAAACACACAAAACTGAACACTTAGAAACTTAGAACACCTTACTTACAAACCTCGACTCTTAGAATGTTAAAACTTACTTTCCAACCTCAAACTTACACTTTCAGTCTTTCAGACTAATGTTCCATCTTTCCAACTTGCCCTCTTTCAGTCTTCAAAGTTACAAACTTCCAAACTTCCCTATTTACAGACATACATTCAAACTTATGTGCAATCTTCTTCAACCTTTCAAACTTAGTTATTTTCTAAGTTTCTAAGAAACTACTTTACTTTTAAAAAGTAAATTAGAAAATTAGCACTTATTTAGAAAACTAGATCTTTGAAAATTCAAACTTCAACCATTCAAACTTCAAGCTTCCAAACTTACGCACTTAGAAATACAAAAACTTTCAGACTTCAAATTTTTAAACTTACAGAACTAGAAACTTACAAATATAGAAATTTAGAAGCTACATTAGAAATGTAGAAATTTAGAAACTAACTTAGAAACTTGTTTAGAGAGTCAGAATTTAGACAAGTTACTTTAGAAGTTACTTAGAATCTTAGACACGTAACTTAAAACTTGGAAACTTAGAACTTACTCAGAAAATTAGAACTTAGAAACCTAGACACTTAGAATGTAATTAGGAAACTAGAACTTGGAAAATTCTAACTTACTTTCAAACTTCAAAGGTACAGACAAACTTTTAAACTTTCAAAGCTCCAGGCAAACTTCAAACTTTCAGACTTAAAAACTAACTTCAATTTTTCAAACTTTCAAACTTCCACACTTCAAACAAATGTACAAACTACAGTCTTAAAGGCATACTTCAAACTGTCAAACTTCAAACTTCCAAACTTTCACACTTAAAGACAAACTTGAACCTTTCACATGTACAAACTTCCAAACTTCCATGCAAACACCAAACTTTCAAACTTTCAAACTTCAAATATATAGAAAAACTTTCAAATTTCAAACAACCCTACAAACTTTCAAATTTACTTACAATCATTCAAATTTTGAAATTTACGTGCAAACTTACTTTCAAGCTTACTTTCAAATTTACTTAGAAACTTTCAAACGAACTTACAAACTTTCAATTTTACCAGCTTAAAAATAAGCTTTCAAGCCTACAAACAAACTTACAAGCTTTCATCCTTAAAAGCTTTCTTACAAACTTATAACATTTCGTACTTACAAACAGTGAACATTTTGACTGAGTAGCATGGCGTACTGTGGGGTGGTGCGAACACGTGCACAGTTGATTAAACAACGAGAGTAGTTATCAGAGTTTACACAAGTCAAGCTATGTTAGGTAATTGTGATGTTCCTTTGTGGTAAGCCACCTGTCACGAAGCAATTCCAGCTGAAGACTCAATCTGCTGCACAGCCTCCAGATGATTTCTAATTAGAGTAAATTTTACCTGTGGCACGGAACCAATATCGCGAAATGATAGCTGTTTGTTTTGTACTTCCTTTTGCTCTCTTCTTCCCAGTGCTGCGAAAATGGATA